ATAAAATTGAAGTTAGCATCAGTGTTTGCAAATGTGGCAGTTCAACTTGGAGCCGGACGGTCAAACTGGAACCGGTCTCTAGCCAATGTGGTTTTGGCCAGTTTTGGTGGTCTGGTCTAGTATTTAATTTTTTTTAGAAAAATTCTTATAAAATCCTAAAAAATAAGAGATTTGTTTGTATTGCGTTATTATCATTGTGGCAAATATTGGAAACTATTTTGGCCATGAATGCTTATTTATACATTTTTCCCATCTTTTCAAAAAAATTCAAAAATACCCCTTGAGCAGAACTCAATGTTTTGAAATCCCTTATTTTCACTAATTTCTAACTTCATTTGGATGTGCTGCGTTTAATTATGTTTTAAATATTTTTTCATATTGTTTTGTATTTTTTTATATTTTTTATTACTTTTTGACCGGCCAGGACCTTCCCGATTAGGCTGGTAGAACTGGCCGGCTTACCGGTTACTTAGAATCAGCTTAGGCCGATTTCCAAGGCCATTTCGATTTTTCGAGCACTGGCTAGCATTATGTATGAATTCATTTCGCCTTGTGTGTTTCCTAAACCTATTGTATCCTAACTCTCCATTCCTACTACTGCTCAAAGAGTAGGAGGAGCTAGTTGAATACATTTTGTGTACAGCACTTTAGCATCTCATTATAGAGGATAATGCTAGTTTTCTTTAAGAGGGAGATACTTCAAAAGTTTTGATGCATTATAATAATATATTTCTCATCATGAGTGGAAACCCTTCATTTTTTTATTTTATTTTTTCCTTCTCATTGTGGGGTTGACGGCAAGTGGACCATGTTTTCGAGAAATCTATTTCCATCCTATTTATAAAGGGAAAATTTTTTCATGAGGGTTGGACCGCATGACTACATATGTGGTCCAAAACTGCAAAGCATCCATCTTAAAGATGGATGCAAGTAGACATTTCATCGAGAAACAGTGGAACCTAACAGTCTAAATATTTTCTTACTAGAATTATTATTTTAGTTTTTAAAATTTACTCTTTTTTTTTTATATTCATGATCTCCATGCTAGCGATTACAAGTCCTTAAAAATTACGTGCAAAATCCATCTAAAATCAATTGATTAATAAGCCTGCATTTCTATATATGCGGACTTGGCTACATAGAAACCAGGTCCAATTATAAAATTTGTAGTTTTGCACATGGTGCAAATCTAGTAAATCTGTAAGCACTAGAAAATCTTCAAAATAGATGGTCCGCATAATGTTTTATAACATGCATTACTTTGAGGACTTAAAATATGTTTTTTCATATTCATACATCTTGAGGCCGAAATGATCACTTGGAGTAAATTTTTGAAGTGTGTTCGGCTTTTTTTGGGTCAAATGTAAAGTTCATGTCCTACCTAAACTTTTTCCCTTTGAAAATGATATTTCTCTTTCTCTCTATATTTTTCAGTTATATATATGAGGAAAAAGTATTTACCACAAAATAGACCTTTTCATATATAGAGAGAGGGTGGATAATGGACCTTGGGTGTTGGGTTTCTATGGGGGTGTTGTTTTATTCGCGCACTAACCCTCACTAGACTGGGTTTAATTTTTGTTGTTAAAAGATTTCTTGTGCGAGTATACTACTATGAGTGTCTTGGGAAAAATTTACTTTAACGATTTTTTTTTTTTTATCTCAATTTTTGAGGATGTGATCTCTAGAGTCCGATGTAATCTCTAGAATCAGGCAAACAACCTTAAAGTAAACAATTTTTCAAATCTCTTTATATGCCTAATTTTGTTTTTTAAAAATAATCATCTAGTTATAATAAGATAGATAATGAAACTTCAAATCATAAAAAATCTCCCAAATTGGTGTTTTCCCCGATGGAGTAAATGTATAGCATAATACACAAATTAGCTGTTTTCTTTCGGCTATTTGTGCGGAAATGTGGAAGGAAAACCATGTTTTAAAGAAAGGGGGCATGGATAAAAATTTATTTATTTTGGGTTTTAAAATAAAAAATAATTTTTTAGTCCTTTGTATCCAAACAACAAAAATGGGCAATAATGACCCCAAGTGTTGGACAAAGTTCTTCAAAAAAAAAGGGAAATTCAAATATGGTTAGGTACTTAAAGTTTCGGATCTTAAATTTGAGAAATAATAAAAAATTAATAAAACAAGGGAACATATGAATAAATGAAGATTATTTTTCAATTCCAAAGTAATTTTACATTAATCTCCCTTTTAATAATGAAAAATAAAATGAATGTTGGCATAACTTTTTTTTCTTCTTTTGGGTAATTGAGTGGGGATGACAGGCCCTAGCCGTTTTTTCAAATAGTTTAGGAGTTAGTTTTTTGAAAATGTTAGTTGGGTGGTGTCAGTGGTAATAAAAACCACACTAGGGTGTGAGGGTGCTACCACCACAACCCCCCTCCGCTTTCCCAATGTTAGCATAACTCGCCCCTTGATGTTTGATTCCCAATCTAATTTATAAGGACATTGTGCTTCATCATTATGAGAATAGCAAATTTGCGTAAAGAAATGTCTAAATATTTTTTTACAATCTTATTTTCAAGAGTAATGATCTTATGAGACTCTCGCACACCCATGTGTAGTACTTTAAATGATCACTATTAAATTTGGCACAAATTTTTTTAAAAAGTTATCACATAGGTGTGGGACTTGATTTTTCTAGATATCTATGCCAAATTTAATGGTGATCCTTTGAGGTTATACACACATAGGTGTGTAAGAGTCTCATAAAGTCATTTTCCTAATTTCAAATTGTAAAAATTTCACATGGAGTACTATAGACCGATACACGTGTCATTGGCAGTATATATGTAACACTGCCTCCATCTCATATGTACACATGTTTGGCTTTTGTATCAGCAAAACACAACATTACAACTTTTTGGACCTTTCCAACTTGGCTAGCAGATCTGAAAACATTATTCTCATTTATTTCAGTTTGGCATATTCATTTTCAATCAAGCATTATTTGTTGGGTTTTTTATTAAAAAAGAAAAGTTAGCATAAGTTTTTTAATTGTATTGCAAGAATGATGTACACATGTATAATTATACAAAAGGAAAGTTACATACATATCCGTTATAGTTTCCGTTATTACGGCTCTATCAAATAGTTTCGGTTATTACCACGGTATCCGTTTTTTTCGTGTCAAAACGAAATTTTTTAAAAAGATGGACTTTACCCTTTTTCGGTTGTTGAACAACCGAATTTAAAGTATTTCCAATAACAACAAAAAAACTAGGGCCAATTTGGGTTTTTGAATAATTTTCGTATTCTTCAATTACGAAAATTTGTGTCTCTCTTGTGGGTCTTCGTATCCTCTCTTTGCCCCTCTCTCTCTCTCTCTGAATTACATGGATAAAGTGCCCTTTTTATTTTAGGTACGTTCATAATCCCTAAATTTAGAGGCTGAAACAAGATGTTTACCCTTGATTTTATCAGATAAGCATGACTTCAAAGAAGTAGAGAGAGAATATGCCACAAGATTTCTCCTAATACTCTAATCTCACAATCCTTAAGATTTCTCCTAAATTTAAGGGCTCAAACTTGTTATTCCCCTTTGATTTTATCGGATAACTATGACTTCAGAAAGGTAGAGAAAATATGTCACAAGAGAGAGAAAACATTTTTGGATTCCTGAATAACCGAAATTTTAAAATTTTGTGTTATTCAACAACTGAAAATTTTAAATTTTCAGGTTCTTGAACAATATTTTCGGTTATTGAATCACCAAAAATGCTCTAAATTCGGTTGTTCAACAATCGAAAAAGGATAAAGTCGTCTTTTTTAACTTTTTTTTGTTTTGACATATAAAAATGGACACAGAGATAATAACAGAAACTATTTGGTAGAGCCCTAATAGAAACTATAACGGATATGTATGTAATTTTCTCTTATACAAAATTGTCAATTGTATATGTATAAAGAATTCGAATTTACTTGCTACCCTAGGGTTTTTTACTACACGTGTGTTAGTAATTTTTAAAAAGATGATTTATAAAAATACACAAATTAATTTATTTTTATTTTTAAAAAATTAATGATTTTTTAAATATCTTTTTTATAGCATGTGCTCAAACCGGTCTACAACGGCCGCTTCATTGGGCTGACTAGAACTGGTTTGACCACACAAGCCCTTATTTAGCATTATTAGTATTTTTAATTATGATGGAAACATTGCTTCTTATATAGCATGGAAATGAAAAGATATTTTTCATGTTTTGAAACCTTGATTGGTGGGGCAAATCGTTCATCCACATATCCGTGTCAAGTCATTAGAATAGTGATCTAGGATCAGATTTGGATTGGTCTAATTCATGATCCAAAAAAAGTATTAAAAAATAGAAATAAAATAACTATCAAGCTAGGGTTTGTATGGTGGGGAAGTAGAGGGGACTTAAAATTATTAGATGAGCTCAAAGAAGAAAACAAAAAATATTTGTATGGATTTTAGGGGAACTAGACGGGAGATAGGGGTTTATATGGTAGGGAATTAGAGATGACCTAAAAAAATATTAGATGAGCTTAAAGAAAAAAACAAAAAATATTTACTTGGATTTTAGGGAAACTAGAAAAAAAACAAAAAATACTATCTCATAACCAAATTCAACTTCTATTGGAATTTACTATCCCGATCGAGAATAGTTGGTTTTTGAAACGCCTAATTGCATTCTTGCCATAATTAAAAGTTGGAAAAAGTTTATAGAGGCTCTAAACAATTTAGTTAGAGTGCACCTTTAAAATTTTAGAAGACGTTGTTTTGATTTTCAAATTTCATCAAATTGATCTTGTCAACATCAAGATACATCAACATGAAAAAAAATGAATTTCAGTTCCATCAAATTAATCTTGATGTAAAATAAATTTCAATTCCATCAAATTAATATTGTCAACATCCAGATACATTAACATGCACTTTTTGACCGTTAATTTTCTAAGATTTATAAATTTTTATGGATAAGCTCGATTTACAAACCGCTCCCCATATATAACCACGCTCGATCGTAGCTCGCCGTCCGTGTCGCGGGAAAACTCCACAGTATCGCGCGTGGAAAGCCCTTGCACTGTTTAGCTAGGGTTTTCACCTTTCGTAAAATTACTCAGCCGCAGAAAACCAGAGAGAGATCAACTCAATCAGCTGAAGAAAACCCGAGGGAGGCCTCGACAAGAAACAAGGAGACCAGGTAGGTTTCAATGAGCCCATTTTTTCCTTTTCTATATATGTGATTGAGAATCGATTAAAGGAATAAACAGAATCAAACTTAGCAACTATATATTTGAGGGTCTCTCTTGTAGGTTTGAGAGTTTCTACTGAGCTGTTGTCTGTAAATTTCTTCGGATGTTACTTTTGTTTTTTCTGTTCAGAAATGAAATGGCATTGAGCTGATAGCATATAATATTGTTTCTTCTTTGTGTTCATATATTTGCTCGTTGTGGATATTTGGAGTATGGGGTTTATCAGAGATTTTTTTATTTTGTAAAATCTTAGTTGTGGATATTTGGAGCATGGGGTTTATCGGAGATGGAGAAATGTTACGGGTTTAACTGATCCAATTGCTTGGAATGTAAGAAAATCTCGCGTTTACACACTCACTCTCTCTTCAATTCCCTCCTTTGCCATATGGGAGCACAAGCCCCCAGACTTCTATTTTCAGTAATTTATGTTTTCTTGTCATCTTTATGCGCTATTTTGCAAACATTACAGAGTGCTCTTTTTGTTTAATTCATTTTTTTTGGGGATTTATTCTTGCTGTAAATATATTTGCAATTCCTATAAATATTTTGATCTAGTCTGGTTTCATGACACATGCTTTTTTGGTATGACTTGTTGGTTCATAGATGTGGTTCTGTTATTTATCATGCAACTCCTTTTTATTTAGAGCCCATGAGGTCGCCAGTTCAATGCTTTTGATTGCAAGGAAGGAGGTCATTGTGCATCTTCATAGAGACGTCCAATTTCTTTCAAGCCATAAGGATCGTAACTTGGCAACCATAGTAAGTCTCCATAATATCCAACCCAGTGGATAGATAGGTGGGCTGTATATTGCTCATATAATACTTTCACAATGGGTGGCATAATCCACTCATATCTGAAGGCTTGAAGATATGATGCCCATACTGATGAGCCACCTTTAGTGAATGAAGATGTTGGCCCCTGATTCTTCATCATATGTGCACATTGTGCAGCTATCCTTTTTTGGAATGCCCCTGATTTTGAGATGATTGATCATGCAAGCCTTGTCCCACCTAGCTAGCCAACTAAAAGCTTGTGCCTCCGGGCTCTCCGAGAGACTTCAACTTCATTCTTATTTGACGCACTTGGCACATTAACCATTTCACCCTAAAAACATCTATGTTGTAGCCACCGGATAAGCTTAAAAAACCTTTCTTCAAAATGAACCTGGCATTTGGAAGCTCATAGAGGACTCCTTTCTTCAAAATGAACCTGGTATTTAGGTGCTCATAGAGAGCTGAATTCTAGGAGTTCATGATTCTTGAAATGTCATCTAAAGTTTATACTCTAGACGTCTTAAATCCCAACTTCCCCGATGGACTCAGCAACAGCGGCATTAGGATCAGAGGCCAAGATGAACAGATTGTGGAATCTTTCTTCAATTGTTCATCAGCTACACACAACTGATGCCATGGTTGAGTCCTGTTACTGTCCTAATTTGTACCTGATGTTTTTGATAAAATTGGTCTCGACCTCATAAAACCATGCCATGGACCAAAGGCCATGCTCAGTCTACTTCTCGCCTTTGCAAACCAGCCAAGCGTACTGCTAGCTTTGTCTATTGTCATGTTCCATTGTATTGGTTTTTTGTTTAACTTTGAAAGTTTGATGATTGCTTGTTGTCTTATCCATTGAAAGAGCTAGTCTTCATCTTTACCAATAAGTTTGGGGGGTTTTATTCTCAGATTATTTATGAATGTGTTTTTTTTTTTTCTACTTATCATTTTATACTACTTCTATTTTTGTCTATTGGCATGTTCCACTGTATTGGTTTTTTGTTGAACTTTGAAAGTTTGATGATTACTTGTTGCTCTGAAATATACTCTTGTGCTCTATTCCCATTTGCAAAAAAATGGTTAGGCCATGCTAGTTATTTATAATACTATCTATAATAAGCATAATATCATGTGGGGACCTTTAGATCACAAGCCATTGTACTCGTCTAGATATGATAAGGAATCAATTCTCATTCTTGCCATTTGTTTTGCTTCTTTTTCTCAAAATAATTGTTTTTTTTATGATGACCAAAATTATTATATATTCACAAATTGATTTGTTAAGTCGATCCTTTGATCAAAAGGTTTCCTCCAAATTGATTCTTAGTTCTACACATTCAAGAGAAGCAAATGGCTTAAAGTGGTCCCGTAAGGAACATTCGCTCAAAGTTACTTACCTATAAAACAACTGAATATCATACATGATATTTCAAAGAACATAAAAGTTGGCTACCTATAAAGCAACAATATATGGTTATTTTGTAAAAAACATAAGAGTAACCAGGGGCTTAACCAGCTGTTGTTGGGGTAACATGAGTCGTTTTAAAAAACACTCAACATAAAGTTTTCTTTCTGATATGGATAAGCTCGATATCCACTTGTAGCTTTGGGGGCAGCCTTAGTTTTTTTGTCATATTTCTGATTAAGCAAATGTTTTTATTTCCACTTATTTTCTTTCTAAGAAGATATATGATGTTGATGATCTTTCTATATGGATAATATGATGCAAACTTCATATTTGAAGCACTCAATTTTCAAGAAATACAAAAATTAACACTCTTGTAGATAATTGCACCTGAGATTCAGGATAGAAGAATGAGAGGAATGTCAAGGGGAAATCACTTTTGTGTTTGTACTTTTGTCAAGTACAGGTATCTATTTTTTTCCTGTTACATTGTTTATGTTCTTGATTGGGACAATGAAAAGGTTTGGATTTATTTATTGAATCATTAGGTTTTAAGTTTCTGTCTGTGTGAGTGCAAAGTCTCAGTTTATATGTATTTTGTAGTTCTTGGTTACTAATGTGTGCTCTCATATTTATTTTGTAGTCATTACTTGATTGGTTAGGTTTTGAGTTATGTTATGGTAACAAATGGTAGCATGTGTGCAGTAACCACTGGCAGCATGCTATATCTTGTTGAGTCCATGTTGCCTCCAATTCCTTAATAGTCTTGTTTTTATGAAGGGTTTGCAAACAAGCATTGGAGAATGTAGAAAATAATAAATCTTGCTTTCGGAATTTACCTTTTCACATGCTACCCTTGGTATTGCAAGTATGTCCTTTATGTTGCAAAATGCAAATTATGGTAGATCTTATGTGTTGGGGCCCAAGTTGCATGTGAAGTGTTATGGTGATTTTGTCTATTACCTTTTTCATTAGAAAGGGGAATATTGTACTGTTCGTAATCACTCAAAACTTCACCACTGCCTGCAGTCTCTTAAGGCTTCACTTCCCTTTTAGCACACCATATTTCTGCTTCTTTGCAAGCAACTATGAGAGTGAGCTACTTACACCATAGACCTTTAGGGAAGCAAACAGCAAAGCAAGCCTGCTGGGCAAACAAGGAGTTTCATGGGACCACATCATTAGAAAAATTTTATATAAGTTAGCATGTTGTGTTTCTTTTTCATTTTTATCTTCTTTGGTTCTCTTTATTCCCTCAACAATGTATATGTCTGCCTGCTTACACTTAAGGTATGACTGTGCACATATTTGCAGCAATGAAAGACTGCTAAGTGTTAAACACACACTCACACAAAAATGTAGTAACTGATGTGTTGCAGAAGACACAATTCCTGAGCATTTCATGTCTCTGGCTTTGGGTTGTTCAGTGCACTGATGTGACCATTAAATAGCTATCTTATATCTACTGAGATTGGTATTCAAGTTACTGCAAATGATTATGCATATCAGTCATCTAGAAGATAATAGCTATTTAAGGAGGGGTCTCCACAATGCTATTATCCACTATTAAATAGCTATTATCTTCTGTCCACAATGCTAATTTGAGGAGGGGTCTCCAAATCTTATATCTACTGATAAAGAACATGCAAATCTTATTATCTTCTGTCCACAATGCTAATTTGAGGAGGGGTCTCCAAAGCAGGTGGCTTCATAAAATCACGATAGAGGTCTAAGATTGCATTCAACACACTATTAAAATGCCGACTCACTGTCTCGCCGGAATGGCCAAAATCATGACCAATTTTTTGATTCTTCAAAATGCTGCTAAGAGTATGTAAGAACATGACCAGCTCCTCTTCCAAGGTTACCCCTATGGTATCTCGTATGTTGCGTCTCTCTTTGAGAATATCTCTAAGTACAAAGAAGGTCCTTGGACTCATTCTAATTTGGTTGTAGCAATCAACATCACCGTTGATTCAAAACATGGTTTTGTTTACCCGAGTATTCAAAACATGGTTTTGTTTACCCTATAATCCAAAACATTTCCTTAGTCTTTAAAAGGAAAAAGTCAAATTAGATGATTGGACCTAATTTTGGAAGGTGGCTTTGACTCCCTCAAGAGAATAAAATCTCTTTTTCATTTGTTTGCACATTGGATTACCGTTTCATTTTTCATCCACCAACGCCAAACCCAATGGAGTCGTTATTTACTATTTGCCTCTCTCTTACCCATCTTCTCTCATATTGTCCCTCCATTCCTCCACAAAAACCCTACCAAACCCTGAAATACCATATGTTTTTCCCGGTTTCAAGCTCATGCTGATGCTGTTGGTAAACATATTATTTTCTCATGAGAAAATTTATAAATTCAGAATTTTCATATTTATCATTAATGTATGCTGGGGACTTCCCAGAATTTGGTCCTTTTTCTTGCTATCCTTTCTGGCGTGATTTTGATATTAGTCTCAACTTCATTTTGATATGTATTTTCTCTGGTGAAGTATCGAGTTAGTACCTCATTTTTTTTTATAAAGAGATTAAAACAGGGAACAAGATCTTTTTAATTTTATAATAAATTGAATTTCTTTTAACTCTTTGGTTATGTGGTCTTGATAGTCCTTGATGCAGGTAAATGGCTAATTTTAGTTCACATTGCACGTAATTTGTGGTGTAATTTAGGTTATACCAAAGACAATAATAGGTTTTATGGGGTTAGATTTTTTTTTTGGTTAATTGATATCTGATGTATACCTGAATAAACTTGCTTTACTGTTTATTTCTATGAAGATAAAAGAAAATTCTGATGTATAATTGCTGTGAACAGGTGTTTTATAGTTGGATCGTATAATTTATTTTGTGAATTATTTGGATTGTTCAAATTCATAGTAGGAGATGCCATAGACAACTAAACAATATTTTCCGCAAGCAATGGAAGGTTATAAAGACTTTTCTTTTTGTCAGGCAAGTTATACTTTCTCCTGAATTTTTCTATTTTATTCATTCATTGCAAATTTGTTTCAAACTGATCAATCTGATGTGTATTCATTTATGAAAGCCTGATTATTGAACATTGTGACTATTTATGCCTTCTATTTGCAATTTACTTATTTTTGTTCAATTGGTTACTTTTTTTGGACGAATTTCTTAATTTATTTTTTATTTTTTGGTGAATTATTTTGTATGTTTATATTTCCATTTAATTTGTGGTATTTCTTCTTGTTCGGTACAATTTTATTGATTTGTCTTTAATGCATCGTCATGAATGAATTCTTCATTCGTGTGTCAAATTCATTACGTCATACAATATACTACTCATTGTGGATATTAATGTACTTAATTATTGTTTCTTATATTTGGTTGCGGTCATTTTTTGCTTTTTGGGAATCATAAGTCTTACTTGGAACTTGGAAGTCTTCTAGTATGTTTGTTTGGACCTGTTGCGTTGTTTTTAGGTTGGAGATGATGTCAATGAACACCAGTTAGAATCTCCAAAAGGTATGCCTAATATCAGTAAAGTCACAATCAAGGATGGATCTTCAGAAGATGACAAACATGAGGGGCCCACTAGTAATGTTCTTCCATCCCCAGTTGATATTTCGCCAAATACAAGTCTTGTAGACAATGGTAAAATTGATGAATTGGTTGCTCAAGGTTCTTTGCCTTCTATGACTGCTAAAATGGAGCCCCCAAAACCAATATCCAGTGAGGTATTGGGATCAAAAATGTCTGAAAGCTCTAAAGATTCAGTTAAGACTTCAGACACAAATCCATTGATAGCTAGCAAAAGGCCTAGGGTGCGTACAAAGGTTCCTTTTGAGAAGGGGTATAGCCAAATGGACTGGCTAAGGGTTACACGCACTCATCCAGACCTTGCAGGTACTTGAAGAGTGCTTATGTATTTGGATTGATGCATGATTAATGTAGTCTGCAAATGCTAGAAGATTAGATGTACAAAGTGATGCTTTTATGTTGTTTGTATTATAATTTGGAAATTGTTACAATTTTTACAATCTATGGCTTTCTTTTCTTTCCTTTGGATTGGTTTGTGACCCTTAAAAGTTTCAATTGAAATCTACTGAATAAACATAAAATGTCATTTGAAACCTGCATACTAGAAGATCATATTCTATTTGGCTGATGTTCCTCTATCGCGGTTGCGATTATTGGCTAAATCGGAAAAGAATCAAGATATGTAGTGAAGAGACATTTTATCTCTTAAGTTAGTTTAAAGGTTTGATTGAGTTAGTTTAAAGTTTTGATTGTTGAATAAGAATCATCTTGAAGTGGTTGGGGTCTTTTTGAAGTAGTGTCTTCAAATTTGAGAGCGATTCATTTAAGGAAAGAGATGTGTATTTTCCTAATTGACAATAATCATAACTTCCTGTCCAAAAAACGAAGAGACCTGGATTTGATTAAAAAGATATTGGTGAAAATTCATTTTCTTGAGGCCTTGAAAGTGAAAACACATTTGAATACTAACTTTCAAATGGAAAGTATTTGTTAGTGTATAGAGGCCTAGCTTCAAGGACTAGAGGCCTAGCTTCAAGAGGACACTTTTAAAAAATTCAACAACCCAATGAAAATGACAAAATATAAAAGAAAATTCGACAGGAACAAAAAGCTTCCGCTTACAGTTACGACAAGCCTTCAAGAGACGCAGATTGGAAATTTTCTCTCTTCTAAGGGGGAAATTGCCCAAACAAACATAACTTAAGTTACAAAATTCGGCAAGATTCAAATTTGCTTCTCTACGATGAGAAATCGGATATTTCTCTTAGAACTTTATAAAGAGATCAACTTTCCTATGTTGATCCTCTGAATTCCATCAATTTCATTACCTTGAAAATAAGGAAAGAAGAAAGAGAAAATGACAAAATATAAAAGAAAAATAGAAACAAAATTGTTCTTTAACATATTAACATCTGATTTGGGGCTTTTAGGTTTTGTAACTGATTGATGAGAGCGAGAGAAAAATGAAGAACAAATAAAATGGAAATGAGGTTTTTTTTTGCTGAGAGTGGTGGACTAAGGCAGCGAGCCTCCGCTTGCCCTCTCTAGGAATTCGGGTCCACCATGGACCGTCCAAATATTTGGATGGTATAGATGTTGGAGGCCGCACAAATTGGTACCAAAGCATTTTCCATATACCCACACACATATACGTGTCTGTGTGTGTGTAGGTGTGTGCACGCTTGTGTGTGTGAGCTACAAGAAAATCATGGGGATGAATATTGTTATGAGAATCATATTGGGGGCTTACTTGTAATCTTGTGGTAGAATTTTATAGAGGGTCCGGAAATTTTTGCTCGTGGGCTAGGATAGGTTTTATACCCATCTACAAATTGATGTTTGGTGTGGTACTTACTCTGTTGTTCTTACTGTTTCTTTTACTTGGGGTCACTTCTATTTTTTAGAAACATCTGTAGTCGCCTACTTAATCTCTTTTGCTGCTGTCTCAAGAGCATGCGTGGCCATTATTGTTTTTAGAGATATTTGAGAGAGATAGAAGGGAGGAGGGGAGAGAGAGAGAAGTGGGCCTTTCACAGCGTCAGTTAACGACAAACTGGGGTATACGAACCCCAGATATCGACGCACATAAACGACACACCACCATGACAGCTGATTAAGCTGTGTGCGTGGCCTTTATTTTGATTGTTTACACGTATAGTTGTTGTTTTAAACAGGAGTTTAATTTATTAAATTTTTGTGTTTATCCTTCATTCTATTGAAAAGCTCCAAATTCATTCTATCTAGATTGTTCTCAATGGAAAGGAGTCAAGCGTACATTATATTTGATATTCCTTGTACATATCAGGATTGAATGGGAGATCTAATAGAAGGCTCATCACAATGGATGAAGTTAAGCAACACAAAACTGAAGGTTCAATTTGGACAGTCTTGAAAGGTCGTGTCTACAATATTTCCCCATACATGAAGTTTCACCCTGGAGGTACGTTCCTTGCTGTTTTCTTTCCTAATAGGAATTGGGCTTGGCTTGTGTGGTAACGAGTTGACGTCAAGCAATGCTACATCTCAAGTTCGATTCCTACCACTGGACTACCCAAAAAAAATATTTTTTTCCCTAATATTACAAAGAAAAACATACACTCAACAGATTTAACAGAATACTAGTATTTTCTTTAATGACGGTAATGCTTTAGGTGCCATTCCTGGTCTTTAGGAAGCTGTTCATTGTGTAAAAAAAACATGTTGACAACTTGGACATTATACAAATTTGCAAAGAGACCTTGCAAATGTCCACTCATGCATGCATGCTTATGGAGCTGGCATGTATATAATGGGACAAATATAATTGCAAATATGGTTAAAACATTTTGCAAAATTCAGTGTCAACAGTTTGGGTAGTACCATGGAAACGGGTTTGTGATGCATACCTGGATATGTGTGCAAACATGTTTCCAAACATGCAGACACCCTTAGACATTGTGCAAACAGTGCATGAATATTTGTGTGCATGAAAAACTGTAAACATATATAAGATAGAAATTTATTGCAAAATATGACCTAAAGCAGCCCATAGGAGGATAAGGGTGTGATACATATGTCCACCAATGGAGTTTTGTTATTTAAGAAGGCCACATGCCTAGGAAAGATTAGATCAGCAGTGTTAACAAGGTATGGGCTCGGATACTTGATCCTCCAAGACAGTATTTCACATGCTCTAGAACCCGTGGTTTGTGGTTTATAAAAACGAGCACGCGGGAATTGTCTTTCTAAAAGGATTGAGCTGGAGGGGACAGAAAAGAACATCAGGGAGATTTTTTTTTGATAAAGGTTAACATTGTATTACTGGGAGTACATCAGGGAGATTTTTGAGTGAGATGACCAATGAAATTTTGGTTTCAGCAAAAGATATATCAATAGATCTCGGCATGTGACATGCATAAGGCTATACGCATTATACCTGTTTATTATGAGAACTTCCTTGCATCACTTATTTACATGAACTGTGATTTCTGTCCAAAACTTACTAAATGGATATGCACGTGGGTTACACCAGAAATTAGAAGTTGACCAGGCAATGGATGCACTTGGAAGTATTGGCTGCAAATGCCGTTAAAATTTATCTGTTAGGCTGGACTCAGTGTTTGCATTTTGTTCCTCCCCCAATATTTTTGGAATATGGTGCTGCCACTAAAGGACCAAACTTTTTAGCTGAAAAAGAATTGTTCTGGCATATTCATGAGGATAAAGTTTGAATTCATGATTCTAAGAAATGATAAAACAAATATAAAATTAGGGTGCAGTTGGCATACGGATGCATCCATAGTTGTAGAGGTAAGGTGCACCTTCAAATTTTATCGTGGTATATAATTTTGATGTAAAATGTTTTTAGGATTATCTCAAAATCTATTTTTATATCTAATTATAAAATTTTAATTTTAAAAAATGGTTAAAATCAAGTAGATCTATAAACATTTGAAAATCTTGAAAATGGACGGTGTAGATAATATGTTGTAAAATGCACTATTTCAGAGACTTAAAATCTTTTTATTTTTCATGGTCATGCATCTTGATGTCGAGATGAACAATCAAAGGGCTTTTCAACATTAACACTGCTTTTTTCGATGGATTTTTCCGATGTAAAAAGCATGTCCTATTACGCCTATTCCTAATCTAAATGGAATGTAACGACGTAGGGATCCATAGTATCTATTTACATATGTTCGACCCTTCTCATAACGATAATGTACATATCCCTATTCCTTCCGACTTGGTCCGGTATGGAACGAACTTATAATTTGATGATTGAGTTGATTCCATGATTATAAGTTCATAACTCCAGCCCATTCCCATTGATTCCTGTTTGTTCTCCCAATAGCAATTGAATTTGGCCCAATCTTTTACTAAAAGGATTGAGCCGAATAAAGAATGGGATCCCTATCTATTTGCATCAATATTCAATATGTATATTGCAACATTGAATGAGAAATCCATTTTCTTCTCTTTCGTCTTTAAGACTAATACTAAGTAGCTCAATGTTTCTATTGTCTATTGTTGGATTCATAATAAATCCTTTGGATCTTTGGGATTGGTAGATCATGACAGATTTTGTAGTTTTGAATCGTAGATGAAACCAAGGGTCACAATTCCTTCTACCCATCCTGTATATCCTGAATATTGTCCTCTTTGTTTCGTGTTGGAATCTAGACTTATTCCAAGAAAATAAATTCTACATTATAAGGTTGCATCCTTATATAAACTTTTTCCATAAAATTAACTATTGGAATTTAATTGAAAAAAAAGAACTTTACCTTAAATATCGAGGCCGAGCCTCCCAACTTTGTGCTATGTGAATTAATGCCTCCATTGCACACCCCAAATTGAAGTACCCAAATCAGATACAGGTTTTATGTTCTGGTTATCAGTTCCAATATGTTGTGGTTGAAATTTTTTGGGTGAATAGTAAATCCGAAACCAAATCTCAAAAATCTCGAGATTTTTAGTATGTTTTGTGAGAAGCGAGCCTATGATTCAATTAAGAACCAAAAATTAGACTTAGGAAACAATTTTTGTTCAAGATCAAGCAATTGTTGCATAGATTACAACTTCTCTAATTCGGCCAAATGTTAGGGCAAAATTTCCGATCTCCCATATCTGACACATTTGAAACTTTTTTTTCCCAATCCGATCAAAAGATCGTCCAAAAACGAGCATGAACCTGGAATTGGGCTCGATCGAAGCATTGGATGAAGTGGAATGTCAAAGAGGAGGGGGCAGATTGCTGTCCCTCTTATATCTATCAAATATTATCTAACTCGGTGAGTTTTGATTACTCGCTGAATCAGCCAGAGAACTCGTTGAGTTCTATAGTAACTTGGGCAAGTTGCTACAATAATTCACCTGATTACTGTAAGCACGCTAGACCGAGTTGGGGGAATTTATTTCTTGACAGAGTGTTAAGCCTGATTGGGTGGTACTTTTTCATATAGGTTGCTTAAGTGGCTTGAGATTACCTCGTTCGGGGTCTAAAATCCAAAAAGTGTGTTCCATTAAAATCTGTTGTTCCACGTTTTGAATCTAGGACATGTGGGTCATTTGTCCACACTTGTTTTATGGGGCAAGTGTCCAAACTACTCAGACTACCCTTCTACTTGTTGGAGATTCCATACGCAGAGCACATGCGTTTTGGGCATCATTTAACAAGAATGGTCTTCTTAAAGTACCTACATTGTTGATAAATTGGTTGATTGACCACCTTAGTGATATTTTCTGTTGGCTTGACCATTTTACTGAAATTCATCAAAGGAAAAAAAAAAAGCAAATAAAAAACAAGGGGTAAAGCCTGTTTTAGGCCAGGGAAGGACATGAAAAACGCTTTTGTTAACAAATGCAGATAAACTAGGGTAAAAATTAAAGGATAATTATTGCCTCTTAATTTAGGAATTTAGTAGTTAGGGCTTCAGTGGCAAAGGGGAGTTAGTAACGGGGAGGTAAAGCTCAAGAGCTCGATAAACTTATTAATAGTGCTGATGGATTCTGCTTCTTGTGGAGGGTGACTCAGTTAAAGTTAAAAAGCATTAGCAGCAAAAGGAGCTACTCCCTCTTGGCAATGAGCTCTTCTCTTTGAGGAAGCCTTTTATGTTTTTCTCAACAGTTCACGTAACTTTTGTCCCTCGTCATGAATCCTATGATCTTGGAGAGGGAGTGACCAAATCCTCGTTACGTGAAGGTCACGGCCATTATTAAAATGCCCAATTTTGTTTCAAATCCTTTTTGCTTTTTTTTTTCTTTTTGACAATCAAGTATGCATTTTAATATGGTAAAGCTGATGCATGTACCAGTACATTTTTCACATGAACTTAAACATGGTTTCACTAATAACAAGAAAAACTCATCAAGAACATTTAGTATGTGGGCCCTGTACATTGAGCGCCTCCTAGGGCTCCTGTTTGCTGTTGTGGACATTTTCTTGAAGCAATACTTTCTTTTCTCATTTTAAAAATTACAAAGTTTGTATACTCTATTTACATGATATTTGAATGATCCATATATATATATATATATATATAGAGAGAGAGAGAGAGAGAGAGAGAGAGAGAGAGAGATATTCTAGAGCACCTGCATAGGTTGGTGAGCTCATTTGGTGTTTTCTCATGCAGGTGAAGATATGCTGATGAAAGCTGCTGGAAAGGACTGCACAACTCTATTTAGTATCCAATGTGAAGCTATTACTAAATTTTTGGTTTGTGAATTATGTTTAGCCAAAATAGTATATGCTCCCATATCGTACATTTACTCCCTCAGATTAAACCCTATCTAGGAGTTTTTTTTAGGATCCAAAATTTTGGGGATGTGACATGATCCACATAGCGATCAACCTTATAAAAGAAAAGGTAAGATTTTGGTGTTTAGGAACCCAATGCCCATTGTTTTGTTTTTGAAAATTCATCTGGTTATTCTAAGGTGGATTCTGAAATTTAAAATCAAGAAAATCTTTCAAAGTATGGAGGAGTATGTCTGCGCTCAGCTCTCGCTGGACAATGCTACATGCTCGCTTATGTTTGTGGTCGGTAGGATTCCTTTACCTGATTATTCAGATAAATACCATGCTTGGGTCAATGCAGAGTTTTTGCTGGAGAAATGCTTGGTGGGCATTTTGGATGTGAGCTGATGATCCCAAGGCTGTATGAGCCATGTTATTCTTGTGGGGTGAGGAGAGTGTAGATTCAATAAATGTGTTCCATAAATTGTTTAGCAAATATCTGTTCATGCACTCAAACAATTTTGACATTAACACAAAAAAAAAAAGCCACCAACTTTGGAATCCTATAATGTCTAGGGCAACTCCATTTTGTGAACGACTCTCTCTCTCTCTCTCTATATATATATATATATATATATATATATATATATATAGTAAGTAAAGTAAACGTAAGTAAGTAAGTAGTACGACTAACTTAATTAAGTAGTACGTAACGTAACGTACGTCGTACTACTAACTAAACGTAACGTAACGT